AAAAAAAAAAAAAAAACCGTGCTGGAAAGCTATCACTATTTCAAAGAAGAAATATAGAAGGTAAGCTCCCTAACTTTCCTCTGGACCAATCACATTCTCCTCCCCTCCAATATTTAGAATACACCAGCCCTGAAAGCAGCTCCCCAGGGTGAGAAGTCAGGGAACTGTTTCAAACGCTGGGTGGAGAGAATACCATTCAGCTTTCATGGGTATGTCTCAACAAAAAGATAGGAAGCCTCATGCCAATAATGTTAAGACTGGGAATTCTGCCAAAACAGAGTGTCTTCTTTTCAAAATGATAATTCCTTTTTTCCCCCTAGCTTTAAAATCTAATATAAGGCTTGTTGTAAAAAAAAAAAAAAAAAAAAAAATTATGCCAGAATATATTGCTAAAGAACCTAAATCCAGCTCAGAATCCCAGATACACTGGCACGCACAAGTGTTACTGGAATAGTTTTCCAATAAAATCCACAAAACATGACAAGCAATTTTAAATCCTGCCACAATTTTTGTAAATCCTCGTGAAAAAAGTCTCATATAAATATTCCAGTGTTTTAATTATATATTTATAGCAGCATGGTCTCCCCCCCAGGCTTGAGGAAGAAGAGCCCACACACAGCCGGGAGTTTATAGAGGCACCGAGCGTTCTCATAAACGCAAATCAGCCATCTGGACTGTCCTGGTACAGCCCTTCGGGAGCATGGGCTGCAGCCAGCGCAGCAGCAAGATGCAGTGCACACCACAGCTGCAAGTCTGAACTAGGGCCCAGCTGATAAACACCAGCCAAACTGATGAAGCTCAGAGGCAGCTAGAATAGTCAAATTTGACTTAATTCCAAAACATATGTGGACCTTCTGTTCACCTGGCCTCATAAAATATTTTAAAGAAGAGTTTTTCAAGATCCTCTGGGTACCTGCATCATATCGAGTAGAAATATCTGAAAATGAAATTCACAAGATGGGAATGCTCATATGCCCACACAATTGTTTAGACAGGAAAGAGATCTAGAGGAGGATAATAATTGCAAAATTAATTTTTAAATAACAGCTAACAGATACAGTGCGCCACACACTGAACATTGTGCTTTTCATATAGTAACTTATATATAATAACTTCTTTCATATAATAACTTATAATATATATAATAATATATATAATATAGTTATAATAACCTCACAGCAACAAAAGTCTTAAGTTCTATTCACTCTCTTAGTCTGTTAAAAAAAACATTCAAGGGGCCCCTGGGTGGCACAGTCAGTTAAGTGTCTGACTCTTGATTTCAGCTCAGGTCATGATCTTAGGGTCGTGAAATTGAGCCTGTGTCAGGCTCCATGCTCAGTGGGGAGTCGCTTGAGATTCTTTCCCTCTCTTTTGCCCCTCCCCATTTGTGCTCTCTAAAATAAATAAATAAATCCTTTTTAAAAAAACATTCAAGGGGTGCCTGGGTGGCTCAGTTGGTTAAGCATCTGCTTTCAGCTCAGGTCATGATCCCAGGGTCCTGGGATCAGCCCCGCGTCGGGCTCTCTGCTCAGCGGGGAGCCTGCTTCTCCCTCTCTCTCTGCCTGCCACTCCCCCTGCTTGTGCGCTCTCTCTCTCTCTCTGTCAAATAAATAATAAAATCTTAAAAAAGAAAACATTCAAAAGATAAAACTTTCAAAATGCAAAAGCAGGAGCTAAGGAATGGGTATGTAATGACACTATAATACTAATATGGCATTAATTATACTTACCATATGTAGGAGAGTTCTGGAATGGAAAGCTTTGATTTGGTGAAGAAGTTCTTGGCCACAGAACCTGCCAAGAGAGCCACTGTTTAAATAAATCATTAATTACTTATCTAGAGCAGCTTTTATATTTATATATAAATGAATCACCATTTTTTCATTCAGAATCCCTACCATATAACAACAAATGTAACATTTGTTCATCAAAGCAACTATAAATCCTATGGCTAAAAACAACATATGAACAGCTTTTAAAAGAATATATAAATTACAATAGGGCAAAAGAAACAATATCATAATACTTATTATGATATGTGAATCACATAAATTCCTTCTTCATTTTTCCAAAAATCTGCAAAAGTTTATTCAAAATTCAAAAGACAAATTTCAAAATTATTAAAGTAAAAATCTGTCAAGCACTTTTAATGAAAGGATGAGAAAGTAATATACAATCATGGTAGAAAACAGCAAAAAGAAAATTAACACCATTGATCTTATCACACAAAGACATGGTAAAGAGTCTGGTGAAATTTATGATCTCTTGGTGGCTCTTTAAAAAACTTATCCAGGGGGGCGCCTGGGTGGCTCAGTCGTTAAGCGTCTGCCTTCGGCTCAGGTCATGATCCCAATGTCCTGGGATCGAGCCCCGCATCGGGCTCCCTGCTCCGCGGGGAGCCTGCTTCTCCCTCTCCCACTCCCCCTGCTTGTGTTCCCTCTCTCGCTGTGTCTCTCTCTGTCAAATAAATAAATAAAATCTTTAAAAAAAAAAAATTAAAAAAAGAAATTTATCCAGGAACCTCTTGCTACTTTCTTTATCTATCACAAATTTACCAGTATCTATTGAAATCAGGTAATCATTCCATTTTACACGTTATATAGCTCCAAGTCCCAACTGCACTTAAAATGTTAGACTGATCCTTACTGAGATTGAAATTTTTTATGGTTTCAGCTCTAAGACCACAAATTCAAAATTCAAAGGCCTCAATTCTAACACAAAGTACAGTCAAATCCAAGCCTCAAGCTCTAAACTGATTAAGTCAAAAGCCTTTCCTTGGCAATTACAAGTCTTCTAACTGGTCTTAAAACAAGGGATTATAATGGACCCTAAAACAGATGTATTGTCCTTTGATTAAATTATTAAGGATCAAAGGCAAAATGCCCTATTAACCAATGAGCTTTCTCTCAAAAGCATCCTGGGAAATAATGCTGTCACAGGACTGCTGGCCATCAGTGAAGCTACCCCGTCAAACATTTATCAGAGATGTCTTAAGAGCCTATTTATCAGCTATTTTATAGATATAAAGACATTCTCCCCTCAACTCATTCTTCTTTTTCTCCCTTAATATCCTTTCTTCAAATTACACTAGGCCCAAACCCAAGCCAGAGACCCAGCCTGGCCTTCAGACAGTAGAGAGAGACTGTTCTGGCATGGTGTCCCAAAGAGATTAGGTAGGGCCCATCCGGAAGCCAACAGCTAACAAATTCAGTCGTGCCCTGGCTGTCGCCTGCCAGAGAAGGAAGCTGATGAGAAAGCCCAAGTGCTCCCTCCTTTGGTGCCGACAGATGTTTAATTAGTGAGGGGGAACCCTCACCCCAGCCCTAATCCCAGCCAACCTAGAAACCCCAACCCAGCCTCCTTTCCTTGCTCTCTCCAGCCATTTTCAGACCTGCTGGGAAGCTTTATATGGGGCAAAAGAGGGAGAGGTGAGGCTTAAAAAAGTTGTCAGCAATCAAACATCAAAATGTGGATTCAAACTTTTTATTACAAGGAGTCTCTCAGCCCAGTAAAAAACAGCTATACATAGCATTGATATATCAGTGATAAATGTTAACACAATGAACAGATAAAATCTTTCAAAAATAAAGACCAATAACACAATATAAAAATGCGTAGAGCTATGACAGTTCACAGAAATAGATGCAACTGGCCCTTTTTTTTTTATTTAAGTAAACTCTACCCCAACATGGGACTCGAACTCATGACCCCAAAATCAAGAGTTGCATGCTCTTACCAACTAAGCCAGCCAGGTGCCCAACTGACTCTTAATCATTTACATATATAAAAAAACCTCAACCTTCCTTGTAAGAGATCCATAAAATAGAGCCACACAAAGACATGATTTCTTGCCTATCAAATGGGGGAAAAATACAAAAGTCAGTGAACATGTAGTGATAGTAAGACTGTGGGAAAATGGGCATTTCCTACAATGCTGGTGAAATGACAGCACGGTACAACCCCACTAAAGGAGTGTTTTGCAACATCTAGCAAAATTGGATTATCCAAAGATACACTGACAAAGATATAAAAAGAAGTGCAGAGGGTTATTCACAACAGAAATATGTGTAATAGCAAAAGACTAGAAATAATCCCAAAAGGGGACTAGCTAAATAAATGACTGCATATCACACAATCTAGTAGTACACAACTTGTAAAAGCGAATGGGAAATATGTCTACATGCAATATGAGTAATCACCAGGACATAATGTTAAGTGGAACAAGCAAGGTGGAGAGAAGTATAAATCGTATGCTACCATTTATCTCACAAAAGATGGGAGATTAAGAATATACACACACATATAGATCTATTCACACATACATGAATTTGCTTTTACTTTTAAAAACAGACAAACCATAAAAAAGGGGACAAGGAAGGAAAGGGCAGAGGGGATAGGAACAGAAGCTAGACTTCTTTGTAAATTGTTTTGTAGACTCAAATTCAGAATTGTGAAAATATTTTATATGTGTATAAAACTAAATTTCAAAAAGACCACAATCCCTAAAAATTGAAATCAAAACAATTAAAGGTGACAAGAACAAAGCTGGAGAACTCCCACTTCCTAATTTCAAAACCTACAATACTCAAGACAGTGTGGTACTGGCATTAGACTAAACAGTGAAAATCAGTGCGAAAAAATTAACATCCAGAAATAAACCCTCACATTCATAGTAAACTGAATTTTGACAAGGATGCTAAAACAATTAAATCATGGGAAGAATCATTTTTTCAAAAAAAATGTGCTGGGACAACTGGAGATCCACATGTGAAAGAAGCAATTTTTTTTTTAAAGATTTTATTTATTTATTTGACAGAGAGAGAGAGACAGTGAGAGAGGGAACACAAGCAAGGGGAGTGGGAGAGGGAGAAGCAGGCTTCCCGCCGAGCAGAGAGCCCGATGTGGGGGCCCGATCCCAGGACCCTGGGATCATGACCTGAGCCGAAGGCAGACGCCTAACGACTGAGCCACCCAGGCGCCCCTGAAAGAAGTAATTTGAACACCTACCTGATATCATACACAAAAATTAACTCAAAATGGATCAAAGACCTAAATATAAGAGATAAAACTGTAATATATATACCTGCTTAGAGGAAAATATAGACATAAATTTTCATGACCTTGGTTTAGGCAATGATCTTTATGGCACCAAAAGCACAATCAACAAGAAATAGATAAACTGGACACCATCAACACTAAACACTTATGTGCTCCAAAAGACACTGTTAAGAAAATAAAAAAACAAGCCACCCACTGAGAAAAAATATTTCCAAATCCAATATGTGATAAGGAACATGTATCTAGAATACAGGCATACCTCGTTTTATTATGCTTCACTTTACTGCACTTGGCAAATGTTGCATTTTTTCTTTTTACAAATTGAAGGTCCGTGGCATCCTTGTGTTGAGCAAGCCTATTGGTACCATTTTTCCAAAAGCATTTGCTCACCTCGTGTCTGTATATCACATTTTGGTAATTCTTGCAATATTTCAAACTTTTCCATTATTATTATATTTGTTATGGTGATCTGTGATCAGTGATTACAACTCACTGAAAGCTCACATGATGGTTTGTATATTTTAGCAATAAATTATTTTTTAATTAAAACATATACAGTGCTTTTTTTTTTAAGATTTTATTTATTTATTCATGAGAGATAGAGAGAGAGAGAGGCAGAGGCAAGGGAGAAGCAGGCTTCCCACGGAGCAGGGAGCCCGATGCAGGACTCGATCCCAGGACCCTGGGATCATGACCTGAGCTGAAGGCAGACGCTTAACCGACTGAGCCACCCAGGCGTCCCTACAGTGCTTTTTTTAAGATACAATGCTATTGTACCCTTAACAGACTATAGTATAGTGTAAATATAATTTTTATATGCACTGGGAAATCAAAAAATTTATTTGACATGCTTTATTGCAATATCCACTTTATTGCCGTCATTTGGAACCAAACCTTCAATACATCGAAGTTATGCCTGTATATAAGGAACTCTTACCATTCAGTATTTGTTAAAAATGGCAAAGGATTTGAATAGACATTTCTCTAAAGAAGATAAATAAATGGTTGATAAGAACATGAAAGGATGTTCAATTTCATTTTTCATCTGGGAAATGCTAATCGTAACCACAAAGAGATACTACTTCACACTCACTAGCGAGGTAGGAGGGAAGAGAGACTCAGGAGACAAGTTGATCAAAGTAAAGCCATTCTGGTTTTAGACTGACCCTTAACCTAAAAGTCAGCAGGTAGTAGACAAGAATCACAAGATCTGACTCATGGAAGACCACAAGACCCCACTCCCTCGGGCAATAAAAGCCACAAAGGCCGGACATTCTTAAAATTGTTCCCTGTGGGGGGCGCCTGGGTGGCTCAGTTGGTTGGGCGACTGCCTTCAACTCAGGTCATGATCCTGGAGTCCCTGGATCGAGTCCCGCATCGGGCTCCCTGCTCGGCGGGGAGTCTGCTTCTCCGTCTGACCCTCCCCCCTCTCATGTGCTCTCTCTCATTCTCGCTCTCTCAAATAAATAAATAAAATCTTTAAAAAAAAAAATTGCTCCCTGTGGGTAAATTCACAACCCTAAGACAATGGCAAAACTAACTACCCAATGTAAATGATAAACCCAAAATTAAGGAGTAAGCCCCTCCCTACAGAGTTAGCTAATTTTTCAAACTTACAAAACCCTTTCTTAGAAGCAAAGGAGGGGGTCGTCTTCCTCACCTGGGAGAAGAGATCACTATTTTATCTGTGAAGTAACTCCTTTCTCACTTCTATACTTAATAAATTTTTGTCCGTTTTTCTAAACCGCTTGCTCTTGAATTCTTTCTCACACAAAGCCAAGAACACTCAAGGCAAGAGGCCTGAGGCCCTCCCTCTCAGGACCTTGGCCCATCTAGCATCACTAGGATGGCTAAAAGCAAAAGACAGGTAAGTGTTGGCTATAAGCAAAAGACAGATAATAAGTGTTGGTGAGTAACTGGAACCTTCATATGCTGCTGGTGGCAATGTAAAATGATGCAGCCACCGTGCAAAACAGTCTGACTGGTCCTCAAATGATTGAACACAGAGTTACGATATGACCCAGCAATTCCACTTCTAGGTATATATTTAAGGGAAATAAAAACATACATCTATACGAAAACGTGCACACAAATGTTCTGAGTAGCAATTTTCTTTTTTTTTTTTTAAGATTTTTTATTTATTTGAGAGAGTGAGAGAGCGAGGACGAGAGCGGGGTGAGGAGCAGAAGGAAAAGCGAACTCCCCACTGAACAGAGAGGCCGATGCGGGGCTCGATCCTGGGACTCCAGGATCATGACCTGAGCCGAAGGCAGCCACTCAACTGACTGAGCCACCCAGGCACCCCTGAACAACATTATTCTTAAGAGCCAAGAAGTGGAAACAACACAAATCAAGTGCCCATCAACTCATGAATAAATAAAAAGTAGTATATCTATACAATGGAAATTATTCAGCTATAAAAAAGCAATGAAGTTCTAGTACATAGTACAACCTGGATAAACCTTAAAAATATTATGCTAAGTGAAAGAAGTCAGACACGAAAAAAGACCACACATTATATGATTTCATTTATAGGAAAAGCCCAAAATAGGTGAATCTTTAGAGAGAAAAAGTAGTTTAGTCATTATGTAGGGCTGGGAGGTGGGGAGAGCAGGAATGGGGAATAATTGCTAATAAGTAGGTGTTTGTTAGGGGGTAATGAAAGTGCTCTAAATTCAGATTGCGAATATACTCTGTAAATACACGAAAACCACTAAACTGTACACTTTTTACAGGGGTGAATTTTATGTTAATATCTCAAAAAAAGATGTTTTTTTAAAAGAGACATCACCTAATTGCAATATATTAACCCCTCTTGACCTTAAACAAACTAAACTGTTTTTAAAAGGCATTGTGAGACAATCAGGGAAATCTGAACAAAGACTTGATAACATTAAGGAAATGTGTTTTGTATTTTTTTCATGTGTGCCAATGAATTGCGGTTATGTTTTTAAAAGAAGTCTTTCTTATCATTCGAGATACGACCTGAAATACTTTCAAATGAAATGATCTGATAACTGCTTCAAAATCATCTGGGCTGAGAGAGGATACAGACAGAACAAAATCATTGGTGCTGTGTAATAGGTTACAGAGGGGTTTGTTATACTAGCCACTCTAGTTGTATCCGTATTTGAAATTCTGCAAAATAAAAAAGTTAAAATAAAAACACTCCTAACAGCTACCCATTTGTATTTGTCTACTTATACACATACATTATGAAGAAACTCACTCAAGGGGCGCCTGGGTGGCTCAGTCGGTTAAGCGTCTGCCTTCAACTCAGGTCCAGGGTCCTGGGATCGAGCCCCGCATGGAGCCCCGTGTCTCCCTCTCCCCCTTAACCCCCCCCTCCGGCTCGTGCTCTCTCTCTCTCTCAAATAAATAAATAAAATCTTTAAAAAAAATTTTAAAACTCACTTAAGCAGTGGGTAAGGTTAGCAAATGGTCAATCTGGGTTTCTGCTTATTTTAAGTCCTGTTGTCAACATGAATTTGTTGTATCTACAATATTCTCCTTTGAATAAAGTATTACCATCAATTAGAAAAATTATGTCTGAATTTATATAAGTATATTTCAATTACACACCTTATTTCTCAAGAGAAAATTAGTCCACATTCAGTACGTCAGGTTACAGTTATTGAGGGCATATTGTTATTCTTCAAAATTGAAGTACAAAAGGAAAGTTTTATGAATTTTTCTTCCAGACTCTACTATTTCACTGTTTAGTCTTCAGTCCAGGAAAATGCACATAGGAATTAAATCAGTTTGTCTCAGTTTGAATTTTACATGAGAACTCAACAGGAATACATACTTAGAAGACAACCCAGAAGAACAGACATGTGGACATAAAACTGCTGGCCCATTTTCCTCCCATATTTTAATTTCTCTCAGAAAATCCAGAGGAGAAAGACTTGAGCCAAAGAAAACGAGCATGAATTTGGACTTCTAAAGCATACATAACAGTAAGAGACTTGTGACACTAAATCTTTAGAAGGCTACTCTACATCTTTGCTCTAATATGAATAAGCAATTAAAGAGGTCGTCTTGGTGCCACAGTCTACCATTTCAAGAACTGCTCCAACTAATAAGGCACAGGTCTAAACCAGGTTCCCCCAAATTCCCATTTAAACCTTTGACACTGAAATATAATTTTCCAAATATCATTGCCAAGTATTTTTATGCATGGTTTATAGCTGATAAGAAATTCAATCTTAGGGGCGCCTGGGTGGCTCAGTCGTTAAGCAGCTGCCTTCGGCTCAGGTCATGGTCCCAGGGTCCCAGGATCGAGCCCTGCATCGGGCTCCCTGCTCTGCGGGGAGCCTGCTTCTCCCTCTCCCACCCCCACCCCCCCGCTTGTATTCCCTCTCTCGCTGTCTCTCTCTCTGTGTCAAATAAATAAATACAATCTTAAAAAAAAAAAAGAAATTCAATCTTAGAGGAAAACAAATCAAAATCACAGAGATTGTCACATTCATTTTGTGTGAACTATTTCTCAAGATGTGTACTGTTATCTATATGAGACAATGATCCTGGACCCATGTCTTCACCCATCAGACTTAGTTACCTGAAATGAAGGAACTCGGGTCAGGCTGAAGGGATCGGAACTGATTGACATAGTACTCGCGCTGTTCTTCTGTTATCCGCCAGGGTTCATCTGGGTAATTACTGTTGTTATCATGCGGTTCTCTCTCCACGGAAAAGGACTTTTAAAAATAAATAAGCAAATGCTCAGAGGTAAAAATATAAAACATCAGTAAAAGTTATCATGCATTATACTTATTTTTTTCCTCAAGAGAATACATTTAAACACCTTGTAACTAGAACATAATTAGAACATAAACTTCTACAGGGCAGACATCATGCTTTATAATTTTTTTGTATACCTCAAAGTTGTTAACAGGACTGAGAATGAAATACTGAACACTTGGTGAATGATGAAAGTTTTTCCAATGTGATGAAGAAAGAGTAAAAAGGACAATCATTCTTTTTAAACATTTTATTTATTTATTTATTTATTTATTTATTTATTTATTTATTTTGAGAGTGTGAGGGGGGTAGGGATTGAGAGAGAGGGAGCAAGAGAATCTTAAGCAGGCTCCACACCCAGCGTGGAGCTGGACTCAGGACCAATCTCACAACCCTGAGATCAGGACCTGAGTGAAATCAAGAGTCGGGACGCTTAACCAACTGAGCCAACCAGGTGCCCCAAAAGGACGATCATTCTTATCTTCAAATATTCACCACATTTTTATCCTTTTAGATTAGCTGAGTAGGCAGCAAAATAATCTAGATTTCTTTTAAACCATTTTTTTAATCTACAAAAGCTATAACCATGTCATCTTTTTTCTGAAGCATTCCCATTGTATAAATCTGGGAATCAAAAGTTCCAATTCCAATTCCACCTCCCCAGGTCCTACTCGAGCGGCAAGTCAGGAACACAGAACCTCTCGTTCCGCATTTGTGAACTATGGATAATACTTAGTAATAGTACTGGGTGGGGAGAACTGCTCATGGGACCCCAACAGGGTAACATAACAAGGGGTGCATCAGACCTGACACTAGGGGGCATGCAAGGCAAATGTGAGGATTTAAGGATACAGAGAACCAGAAAAATAGTTCAGGGGAAAAGACTGTACTAGGCAGTGAGAAAAGCAGCAAAACTGGTGATTCTGGAAGGAGGAGCCTAAGGCTTTGTTCCATCCCTCCCATATACCCTAAGGCTAAGGTGCTACTTGCCAAGGGCCACTTTCATGGAACCAAGAGGTGAACACAAGGAGCATGATCCTTTAGGACAAAAGGAGACTAGGAAAGAAAAGGAGAGGTATTACTGCTAATAAGCCACCAAGTTGCCTGCTTCTGCACACACTATCAAGAAATTAATCATTAGGGGCACCTGGGTGGCTCAGTAGTTAAGCGTCAGCCTTCAGCTCAGGTCACGATCCCAGGGTCCTGGGATCGAGCCCTGCATCGGGCTCCCTACTCAGCGGGAAGCCTGCTTCTCCCTCTCGCACTCCCCCTGCTTGTGTTCCCTCTCTCGCGGTCTCTCTGTGTCAAAAAAAATAAAAACATCTTTTAAAAAGAAGAAATTAATCATTAGGAGGGCATTCTACTCACTATCCCTAGAAAAGAAAGCCGACCACCTCTGCACCCTTCCTCCCACCCCAACACACACACCCCATTTCCAGCAAGTAATTCTTTTCAGGAACACCCAGCTCCCTCCTCTGTGGACTTTCAAAGATGAAATATGACTATAAAACGTTGAGCTGTGATATAACCTTGAGATTTCATTTTTAAAGTTTTCATACTAGGTGAGTTCCCACTAAATGTAGATCAAACCATTTTTAAATGCCCCAGAAGCCACTAATCATTAGTTAATATCTTAAATTCATAGAATGCTTTCAAATTTACAAAGCACTACACACACCTATCTCATTTGAGCATCTCAAAACCTTTGAAAGGTAGACATAGCAGGGATTATTATACTTTTCCCAGATGAGGAAATGAAGGCTCATACAACTTAAGAGATGAGTCCATATCCTTCATTATTTGCAATCAGCATTATTGCATTATTGCAGTCAGCAAGTAATTACCCCCTCTGTTTTATCTGTTGTTCAAAGTCAGCCTATTCCATATCAGGCCTTTTTTAAATTGAGTTGCATCAGGGACCTTGAGAACATGATGCTAAGTGAAATAAGTCTGACATAGAAAGACAAATACTGTATGATTTATATGTGGAACAAAAAAAAAATCAAACTCACAGATACAGAGAACAGATTGGTGGCTGTCAGACGTGGGGGGTGGGCAAAATGGGTAAAAGTGGTCAAAAGGTACAAACTTCTGGTTATAAGGTAAATAAGTCCTAGGGCTGTAATGTAAAGCATGGTGACTATAGTTAATGACACTGTTATATGTATTTAAAAGTTGCTAAAAAAGTAAATCTTAAAAGTTGTCATCACAAGAAAAAAATCTGTAACTATGTATGATGATGGATGCTGACTAGACTTAGTGTAGTAATCATTTTGCATTATATACATATATCAAATAATTACATTGCACACCTAATACAATGTTATACATCAATTTATCTCAATTTAAAAAAAAATAATTTTTAAAAATTGAGTTGCATCCAAGTTGTTTAACTCTTACCGTTCTGATAATAAACAATATAAATAAAGCAAGAAAGGCTACAAGTCAGTCTAAGCACCCGATGGACCACACAATTTTCCAAAACACTCGAGCCAAATTCAAATGCTCCACACTAGCACTTTCTGAACAAGCCCAAATGTCTGACCAGGTTGCAGGGGCAAAACCCAGGGTAGAGGGCGTCAGTATGCTATGGATTGGGTTCTTGGCCAAATTATAATGTGTAGAGCTCCCAGGAACACTGTCCTTCTGGTTGGCACTGAAGGAAACAGATGGAGTAAAGGTATCTAAAAAGCTGGGCACGGACAGGACACAAGAATGGATGTTTACGACTGATCGATCAAGCGGACAGAGACAGTTCATAAACCCGGCAGGACACTTGTGAAAAGCTGTGTCCCACCGGCCACCCTGCAAATGAAGACACGAAAATCTCTGTGCTGGGTGTTGGCTACTGCATTCCTGGTTCCGATACAGAAGCTACTATTCCTCTAGAATACACTCCTTTCCACCTGGACCTGAAGCTGCCATACCCAGTTGTTGTTGTGATGTCAGCCCATGTTTGTTCTTTCTCCAGTCCCATGACCACCTGCTCACTCTGTTCCCTCTCACACATTATCTCACTCCCGACTGGCGTCAGTGGCCTCTTAGCAGGTCTCAAGTCTATTCTGGCAGCAGGGTTTAAAAGCCTACAGAGATGACCTGTCACCTATAAAAAACATTTACCTCCTCCACATGGCCTTTAGGGCCCTTATAATCCAACCTCCTCCCTGCTCACTCTTAGCAGGCTTCTGATTGCGCACATGCTGGCTCTTCATGGGTCAGATCTTTGTCTTCTTCCCAGACCATCCCTTCTCTGATCCCAGCCTGCTCAAATCCTATTACTCGAGTCCCACTGCCCCAAAGGCTCTCCAACGTACCTGCCAGGCCCACAGCCACTTCAGAGGGCAATGCCCATCCCCCAACTCTGATACAAAGGTGGGCTTGGCAGCCACATGTGCACCACAAGACCCACCTCACACCTGGTCTCACCCAATTGAGTCCAAGTAAGGAAGGGAGGGCATAGAGTTTCTGGCCTCTGGGATCCTCTTGCATGGAAAGCTCTACCCTAGCAAGAAAAACTTCAGCCAGATGCTCATTACTGGGGGTGTGGATAAGAAATATGAAGATCAAAAGCACAGAAAGCAGGCCCTGAATGGATGCAGTGAAGCCATGATATAGAGTAAGGGCCCAGTGGGACTTGAAGTCATGAGGAAGCCAGAACCAGCATAAGCAGAACCTGTGAGGTAGAGAAGTACTAAAAAGAACAGGGGGTGAGGATGGCTGCTGGCAGCCAAAAGATAAGCAGATAGTGAAGCAAACTCAAGGAAACTAGGGCAAGCACAAATAACCAAGAACACTCACTCTTTAGGACCACTGGGCCACTCCTTGTCTCTCATTTCTTGGATTCCCATGAGAACTCCAACCCCACCTCCTTTTCAAGAAGACTTAAGCTGGCAAGGAGAGTCCCTGCTCCCTAAAACCAAAAAGGCCTTGCAACAAAGAGAGAGAAGGCATATGAACATTGTATAACCTGTACATAACATAGCATGGCCCTTCTACTGGCTTGCACTAAATGTGTTAACTACCCCCATTCTCTTTCCCCTTGCTTCTCACTGCATGCTTTTAATTGATTTAATAAACAAGTAATTAAGCATCTTAAAAAATATGAATTCTTGGGGCGCCTGGGTCGCTCAGTCGTTAAGCGTCTGCCTTC